ACCAAGCAGTAGATATTGGAGAAGACTTTCGCAAAACTGTACAATGGTCACGGCGCTCGAGTAATAGCTTTTCTTGTAAATCAAATAACTATTTACTATTGCCGTCCCAAGAACCAACTCAAATGCCACCTTTCAGTACCACTTTCTTAAGCTTCTGAGGCGCGCGTAATACGCTGATAGCTGATCCGATAAATCACTACATTGTCTCTCTTCGTTATAATCTATTACAACTTGTAGCTTCATGATACATTCGTTTTTACTATTAGTCTTTCCAGAGTGCACCACAGTTGCTGAATGCGATGATCTTGTCGATATCATCAAGACTTCTTTTTTGTCTTTCCACATGATTAATTTTATGCCGTCTTTATTCTCGAGCCTGTAAACTTCACTGCATCTAAGGTTTTTCTGAAGAACTTTGCTTTCCGATTCGGCACGATTATTTCTTAATGTTCCAGTAAGACACGTATCATGTTCTAACAAACGTTTCTCAAGAGAAATATTGGTAAAGAAGTTATCAGCTACTACAGTTCTATAACATCCCGAAAGACCATCTAATAAATTGATTGCCACTATTTGAACATGCCCAAGACCTGTCATGGGATCTTGCTCACCTATATAGATCACATAATTTCAGGTATATCCATTGGTAGTTGCTAGCTTGTACATCTTTACGCCGTACTTGTACGCTTTTCCAAGAATGTATTGTTTAAACAAAAGCCTGCCACGCCATGGTATCATAGTTTCGTCGATATTAATAAACGAGCCAGGCATATATATTGACAAAAATCTCGCTTTCAGTAAATCCACGAGTGGTTTCAACTTGAACAGCCTATCTTAGTTCGAATTTTTGTTATTTTTGTTCGAAAAATGCTAAAAGGATCCTATCCAAAATCATCATATTTTCCCCCATTCCGGAAACATTATAAAATGAAAGTATTTTAGTAATATATAACTGCTTTGATATTGGTTTATTCAGATCTTGTTCCTTTCGTGAATAAAAACTTATAGAATGTCAGGATTCTCTGTACGGCCTTCAAAAAAAAATTAGACAACGAACGAGGGAGGTACCCCAACTGTTTAAAAGCTTTTGACTCTATCTTTTGTCTATAAGTAGGTTTCAGTGAGACTAAGAAAACTCTAAAAGGGTTCATGTCCATGGTTCTTCCTTCCCGAGATACAACCATTATGTATGTCAAAAAACAGGCTTTTTATCGGCTTTTTTGAAAAAATCGTTTTCTGGAATCGTAATGACTTTAGCGTTAATTTTTTTACAGCTAGTCCCACAAATAGCTGTCTGTTGAATTAATTTCAGTTTAGTTCTTTTCTTGGAACCCAAAACATCAAATTCTAATTGTATAAGACATGTAAAGTTAAATTCTCATAGAGGAGACAGAATAAAAAAGAAAAAGAAAAACAGTTGTTTATACTTGTCGACTACGTGTGTGGTATACAGATGTTGGTGCGTAGTGCTTGATGTATATATATATATAAATCTTGTATCGCTAACTATTATTGAGCTAAAAAGGTGATCGAAGCAGCTGATATTATAACTATGCTATCTGAACGTGTTTTAAGGAATGATATCTACCGATCGACAAGAGATAAATAAGTCCAACAACTGATCGAGCATGTCTTCGAAACTATTCAAAATTTTTTATCAGCCTCATCATTTGAAATTCATGATGAATCTACACTTGATGAGACAGATTCATCCGAGGATTTATCAGAAGATGAATTTGAAGCAAGTGAATGCCATGAGTACGAAGAATCTGCAGAAGCAATGGAAGAAAGTGACTCACATTCAGAGTCACAAGAAGAAACAATAGGAAGTGATGGACAATCAGGAGAAGAATTTTCCCTCGATTATATGAAGAAGGTGCTGAACTATTATGATGAAACTGACAAGAATGGAAAACGAGCACATAGTTGGAAGACCGTTGCTTATCGATTTCGTCGCATTCGTCATCAATAAGACATTTCTTGCTTTCGAGAGTACGTTCGTCTTGGTGGATCAGTGAGACAAAAAGTAGCAGAGATCAATTTGTTTGTATTCGGCTTGTTTAAAGATGCTCGCGAACAATCTCTTTGTATTCATGATGCGGATCTGATACGCTGGGGTATAATGAAAGCTCGACAACTATCAATAAACGAATTTTCCGCTTCCAAACATTGGCTTACGTATTTCAAACAAAAATATCGAATTGTTTCTTGGAAAGTTTCTAAAGTTGTTAGTAGACATTCGAGAAAAAATGTCGACGAAATTAATGCATCAGCTGGAGAATTTGTTAATGTAGTCCGAGCAGAGATGAAAAATTATTCTTCATATGAAATCTTTAATACGGATCAAGTTAATTTGGTAAAGGAATTTCGAAGCAATCGAACACTTACGTTTAAAGGAGAAAAGACGACAATAGGTTCAGTAACATCTCAAAACGCAAATTTTCATTGCTATACTATTCAATCTATTGTTAATATGGAGGGGCAGGTCATTGGACCTCTTTTTTTATGTCTTCAGGAATCGAACGGTCGAATAAGTGAAGGTGAATTTTAAATTCTCAACCTCTTAAAGTTTATTAACCTTTGCTCAATTTTAGATGTTCAATCCCAAATGTTTCGAGCTGATAATATTATTGATACCTGTTCGAAGTCTGGAAAACTCACTAGTTCGCATGTTGAGTATTGGCGTGACTATGTTCTCATTCCAAATATGTCTAAAAAATGTCAACTTCTTTCTGATTCATGGCGAGGACAAAACGACGATAAAATCTATAGGAAAGTGAAAGGTTTGAAACGACTACAAATAGCCGACAAGACGACGGACAAGATACATCCGCTTGATATTTATTTCAACAGGCAAATTAAAGGTATTATTCGTCGTATATATGATCGAATTGCTCTCGACCAATTGAATATTCAAATATCTGATCGAAATAATTTAATTAAACTGGTATCATTCGCATATTCTCAAATGGCAGCACCTCTCTTTCGTAAACTCATACAGTGCGGTTGGTTCGCGAGCGGATACACGAATACTCATCCTGGCCACTTTTACAATATTGCTGAAGCTTGCTTCTCTTTCGAATCGTCTTTATGCAACGGAGAAAGATGTTCAACTCTTGGTTTTATTTGTTGTTTGTGATGTCGGAACGTATTATGCTTTCATCATTTCTACACAGAGTACCACTACCATCAAATAAGATTTTACTTTCTCTACACTTATAGTTTAACTTACATATTATATAATTTTTTTGTTTCTCATATATAAAAAAAATTGTTTCAGATTTGGTGCTTTGCTATTAAATCTTTAGTTCTTCGTAGTTTAATCGAATTGATAATTGAAATCTATATATATCAGTACCCATAATCGATTTTCTTGAATATGTTTAAAGTCCAAAATTTTTAGACCTACGGGAAACAATTTTTTCAAAAACCCGATAGAAAGCCTGTTTTTTGACATACATAATGGTTGTATCTTGGGAAGGAAGAACCATGGGCATGAATCCTTTTAGAGTTTTCTTAGTCTTACTGAAACCTACTTATAGCCAAAAGATGGAGTCAAAAGCTTTTAAACAGTTGGGGTACCTCCCTCGTAAGATACCTTTCATTTTATAATGTTTCCGGAACGGGGGAAAATATGATGATTTTTGATAGGATCCTTTGAACTGAAATTGAAAAATAATTTTTTTTTTCGGTTCTTCGGAGGGCTATGACAAAAAAATTTTTGTCTTGTGCAAAAAATAATTAGTCTTGTTAGCTGCCATATGTGTAGAACGAAAGAGATAAGCAGTGTCACTGATGTTATGTGACAGAACGATGGAAACGATGACCTTCATGGGACTCGAACCCATACTTTCTGCTATCCGGGCAGTTGTCCTAAGCCAATTAGACTAGAAGGCGCATCGAGATCATCGTTTAGCGTTCGTGTGACTCATCACGGACGCTAACACAAATATAGCCACAAATTCATTTTATTTTATGTGATCTTTCCTATAGTCGAGGGAACATTATTCTAAATAAGAGGTGTCAATTTCGAAAGATCCGTGTGAAATTCTGTTAGTATTGCTCAATTATCGATACATGCAAGCACTATTATGATCTTGCTAAGCTTCTTTCCTTATGTAACTCTATATCCTATCTGGATCCTCCTTCGAACAGCTTGACATAAGCTCGCAAAATCTGGTTAAATCCCACCTGCATTTATATGCGAATGCTTAGGAGATCCTTCGATAGATTTGCATTCATATTTCAGAGAATCATGCGATCAGAAATTTTATTGAACCATGTGAAAAGCCTCCTGAAAGACGTACATTGGATCCTTAGGGTTCCCAAAACACATACGGAAAATAATGCACATTTGTTCTTCAAGGATTCGGAATTCTCATTCTTTCAATCTTCCTAACAAGGTCCTGATAGCATTTTCTCAGGATTTTTTTAGATTCGAAGTCTGACAGAGTTCATCGGTTTTTTTGCTTAAATCCTTGTCTGGAGTTCATGTAAACTCTTCCAGGATGTGAGCTTGCTAGTACCTTTTCTGATAATCACACTAAAGCTCCGCATTGAAAACTGCGAATAGAATCTTCATATCTCGATATTTTTCTATTGAAAGCTTGCATCAAATTAATATTGCTCTTTCTCGAGAAAGGGTGTGGGTGTGGGTCTTTGTTTTCAATTCAAACACATACCCCCACCCACATCCACACCCACAGCGTTATATAACTTTTAAGTTAATTGATATTATAGAATAAAATTTTGGCTTATAAAAATCTTTAATAGAATTATACCAATCATTTGAAATAGCTTATTGAATAGAATCATTCGAATATTTATCTACTGTGTTTATATCGTTAAGTGGAAACCTAATAAAAACTCTTTTTTGTTATTCTTTTTTGTTTTTGCAGCATATTCTTTGCCAACAATTCATTATTTATTTGAATTGATTGATTCAAAAAAAATTTGAATGATAATAAGATTTTGATGTAAAACTGTAATTTTCTATTTAATCATGCAACTATTGTAGTTTTTTTATTTTTAACTTCTGTTCTACTAAATTCTTCGTTAGAAGAAGGATTTTTCGTAAACAGAACTTTATTTTCAACAATTAAACTACGACAATTAAAATCCATTTGAGCACTATTATATATTTGTTGGAGAAAATAATTAACACGAATGAGTTGCTTTTCAATTTGATCTATTTTGATAAATTTTGTTCGAATTTTGAAATTGAAAATATAAATAGTGGAAGATATATCATGTATTGATAATAGTTGATTTGCTTGACAATCATTATCTTTAATAAATATTATTGAAATATCACTCATTTTCTTTTTTGTAAATTATTACTAATTTTGTTATTTACTCATTTATATAAATACACTATTCATTTTAACCTAAACAAATTTTTTCGAAATGATATTTATCTTATTTTATCTCTTTTTAAATAATTTCAATTGAAGAATGAATAGAAAATATTTTCCTGTTTAAAATAGACCTCTATCAAAAAGACATTTCTAGTGTTGGTCAATATTTCGCACATCTTGAATGAAAAAAATTTATCACATAACACTGATAACTGTTTAATTTAGACAAAAACTTATATACTTAGTAGAAGAATGTTAAGAAAGATATTCATTCAATGAAACCAATTCGAATCACATACATGTTATATTCAAAACTTGAATTTAAGTGCTCGATTATTAAATGCCGATTCCTATTTCTTTTTGATAGAAGGGTGCTGAAGAAAGTTCTTCTTTTACTAAAACATAGAGAATTTTCTCCTGTTTAGATCAGTGTATAATTTATATTTATCACATATTCCTAAATGGAATGAAACCAGAAAAAAAGAGAAACACTCGCGTAATAAATTCATAATTTTGATATGAATTCATCAAAAATATCTTGTATACAACAGTCAGTTATAATTAAATGTCGTTTTACAAGATGTTTTTAACGAGTTCATATAAAATATATAAATTTATTGAGCGAATGTTTCTCGCTTATCTTCTCCGATTACATTTATAAATATGTGATAAATAGAAGGGTATCGGTGTGGGTGTGGAAAGCGTGAATGTAGGTGTGAGTGTGGATGCGTGGGTTTGAATCTGAATGAGTTCACTCTCTCACCCTCACACCTTCTTCATCCACACCCACACCCTAAAAGTACATATAATGTGAAAGAAATGCCATGTTTTCTACTAGACTTCATATCAACGACTGATTACCTGATGACTGCTGACTAACCATTTTGTGTATATATTCAACGTCAAAGTATCACCGTCACATGAGCAAAGTTTGAAATATTAAACTAATAATACGATTCAAATTCATCGAACATGTAAAGAATTCAATAAGCCGTAGAGTACTATAATTCACTTCAGAAAGATATTCAAAACGGAGTCAAAATGAATCGATCTATTTGGACGTCATGAACTATAACGTCGTTACAAATGCGAAATCAAATGCAGATATTTCCATACCTCGTCCATCGCGTACTTTGAGCGATAGTCACTAGATATATAAAAGTAGAAAAATGTATTTAAAAGAAAGGCAAAGGAGAGAAAAGGAAAGTATATTCATTGTTCAGTATAATGAATCAGTTTTGTACTTAGTATCGGTGAAACTTTTGTACTCGATGATTGCTTGAGTCTGTCACATAAAGATTAAGTTGTTTGTCAAGTGCCATCGCGTATGGACGATAGAGTAAGTTGGCTGAATTACCAGATGACTGTGTAGCACCGACAATAGTTGTTCCATTTGGTTGGCTAGCACGAAAAAATTGTATACGCTCATTGTTACGGTCGGCCACATAAATGTTTCCCATTGGATCAAATATCGCATCTGTAGGGTACAAAAGCGTCATTGATGTGCTACCAGATGATCCGACATATCCAGCAATAAGTGTCCAACCACTAGCACCTATAACCCACCGAACAATATTGTGGGCACCATAATTGGCAATCACTAGGCTGTTCGAGAATGAATCAAAATGAACTGAATATGGAGAGTATAACTGATAGGAATGTGTTCCTGATCCATTTCCACCAGCAACCAAAGTACCAATGGATGCATTCGAGGCATAACTCATAATACGATGATTGTTAGTGTCTGCTATGTAAAGAATGCCGGAGCTCGAGTCAACATTAACACCATTCGGATAGGATAGTTGATTGAAGGCAGAACCATTGGTGCCTGAAATAGTCGTCAATAGATTTCTCGAAGAAAGTAACACCTAATAGTAATTATAATATGGATGGTATTTCCTCGTTTCTCGAAAACGAGACTGTTGAAGTAATGTCATTAAAATGATAGTTTCGTCTAGAAGCCGTCAGAATCAAAGTTGGACTACGCAAAGACTTATGTTCACGTCTAAAGTTTATTTATCAAAACCAATGTACAAAGATTTCTGTTCTTATTCATCATGATGTATTTCCAGATAGAGATGGAGAAAAAGTGATTCTTCTACTTTGGAGGCTTGGACTAGGAGATAGTATCCAATAATGAGACTTTTGACAAATTGTCTTCATTTTCAAGGGGGAAAAAGACTTTCATCCATGGATTTAGTGATTAGATACAATCTTGTTATTCATTACGATTATAGATTGGTTCAAAAGCTGCGATTTCGGATAATAACGATGCACAAAATGGGATTTCATATGCAAGTTCCTTATTGATGTTGTTGGAATGAGAACGTGAACATTGTTTCTTAGTCGTACTACTCATTGTTGAAAAACTATTTCAAATTCATCCAGTGTGGCCAGAATAATTGAGTACTTCAGAGATTTGAAAGGTGTTTACGAGTATTGGTGTAGGAGTCTTGGCATCACTAGTTATGGAATGACCTTGGACAAGTCATTAATAACTGTTCACCTTAAATCAAATACCTGATAATATAGACCCTACATCGTGATATAGATCACCTCAGCTGATGGTATAAAGTTAGTCGACGTCTATATGAAGCTCAAACTACTGAAGGGAAGGATTTCGAGCTAGTCTGCCATTCTATTCAGATCTCCAGCTAATATTACTCATAATGAAGATATTACGTTTATGAAACTGCCTATTGGCAACAAAGTAAACTACAAAGTAGTCAAAAGTCACGACTATTCTATGAACGATACAATTGGGTGTTTGAACAACCATCACATGTTAGTTCTCTCACTTTATCGAATCTCTTTTTTTGTGCAAACGGTGATCGCATTTCTACAGAATATACATCACCATCACTTAAACTAATTAAAATATGGTTTGAAAGCTTCACATTCAAATGCTATCCTAATGAAAATATATCTTACATTTGCTAGGCTTCTCTGTGCTTTTCTTTTTTCTTACCGTTACCGGCAACAGTTTTTCCCGTGAATGCACCACTAGACCAAAGTTGAACTCGATGATTGTTAGTATCAGCTACATACAGCTGATTACTTGAGTCAACAAAAATGTCGCCCGGTTGATTCAACTCATATGCCGCAGAACCTGCTGTTCCACTTGCTTGACCAGCAACAGTAGTTCCCGTCAACTCACCAACGATCCATTTCACAACTCTGTTATTAGATTGATCGGCAATATAAAGGGCATTCGATGAATCCAATACGATATCACTGGGATTATATAGTCGATTAGAATCAGAAGAACCTCCAACTCCAGTACCAGCTACAGTAGATCCTATTGTATTCCAACGTAGTCCAATTGAGGTACTCGCTGAAAAATCAATATCATCGCTTCATAGTGATATCCAAAAAGTTCAAAAATCAGAATTCATTCGTATTAAAGATCGTTTTTCTAAACTTTCCTCGAAATCATTCCCTCAATTGCAACACATTTCGATTCATTAAGGTTACAGTTGTAGAACTGCTATTTATTTGGATGTACACGAATGCCTACAACATTAGCAACTTAATACTCGGCTTCTTCAGGTCGTTGGTTTTGGAAGTGATATGATTTCTGGATCAAAGCTGACTTAGAGAAATTCAATTAAAGGTTGTAGTTTCTTACTACTATGATAGAGAACTCTCCAAAAGATGTGGTCGCTTGAGAACATCTCTTTGATGCACAGCATTCATATTTTCAGGCGTCTGATAAGGACAATTTTTGATAGAAAATGTCTTGAGTCGGCAATATTTGATGAATGTAACTCAAGGAAAAACAGCAACGACTATTAAGTAGAATTTCACAGATTCTGTCACAGAAAAGTATTACATGTAGTGGACTCATTTTTTCGATTTCGCAATGAAAAATGATATTGTTTGAATGTAGCTCAAATCTTCGAAAAAAAGCACAATTTTAATGAACCATTTACTTGATATCGAAACAAGTATGATGCTCGCAATAAATGTATCCACACCTAGCCTTCAAAATATGATTTATGCAGATCAGAGAGAAAATGTTTTTCTTCCATGTTTGATTGGGACTCTTATTATGATAAAATGGCTTGCAGCACAATACAAAAGAGAGATACAAAGTTCAACCGTCTTTCTTATGTATAAGGAGTTCAAAACAAACCTTGTATGAAAAAACGCAAACTTATCGTCAGTTTTTTGTTTCTATATTGAGAGTGATTGCAGACAATGCTCACCTGTTGTTTGTTCTGACTTATGAACGAGTGAGTAAATGCTGATCGACAACGCAGTCACAGTGCCCAAAGCAATCATAATACTAACTACTATTGCGACAATGAATAGCTTCGGATGCGTCGTTTTACTTCCAGTAGACTGAACTAGCGAAGTTCTAGGAGAGAAAGAAAAGTGAAGATAAATGTTGATACATGAAAAAGAAAAAGTTAATTCAATAAAGAGTATTACTCACGAAGAATTTTCGTTCAAAATATTTTTAGAATGATCTGAAGTGAACGATAATTTTAATGGCACCTCTTGGCTTGTATCGTTCCGCATTTCTTCTGCTTTTGACGATGACGTTCGAAGGTGAGTAGATTGAGATGTTAATGGGCGTGGTTTGACAATTGATGATGAATGAACAGTTTCTATATGCTCTGGACTTGGTGCTGATGTTACCTGATAAAGATAAATTAGCAACAAAATAAGATCTAATTGCTTTATATACAGTAAAATCTACTGTAGTGAATACTTCCAGTATAGGGGACACTGATTAGGAATTCAAAGAGTATGTAGCGATCACTATAATTACTTAATCAACATAATGACTCTTCTTTATTGATCAGACGGAAAAACAACAAAGAAAAAACATATCTTAGTTGTAGAGAAAGAATACGTTCTTTGTTTGGAATAGATGAGACGGGTGTATATATAATCTCATTGAAACATTTGTTTCATTTTACTAACATTATTAAGAGAAAGAGGTCATTATGTCTAATTGACGAACGTTGACTCTGAAACGAAAGATTACACTAATTAAAGGCATTCAAAATATTCATGATTTATCAACTTCATTTGTTTGTAGCTACTCCAACGTCTCCTCTACACACTCTCATCTCTATGCTTGAATTACAGTTAATTGACATTGATCTGTATTCGAAAGTAGCGAAATAAAGTTCTATTAAAGATTATTTTGACAATTGTTGATTGTTCTATTGTCAAACATAAAACCCATGAAAAGAGAAGTAATAAAGTGCTCTATCCGATTATCTTATTTACTGATACTCCAAATTCCTAGAAACATGTCTACTTCTTTGAAAAAACATTATATTTTGAAAACACACGACCTACCTAGAGTGAACACCTCTCTATAGTATACACTTCTGAAAAATCAGAACAGTGTCCGCTATAGAGATGCTTTATTGTGTATACATATTGTATCGCTTCTTACCTGTTTATGTGGCTTTAGAATTGAAACATTTATATATCGATAACGCTTCATGCTATGTTTTACTTACCGACGAGTATGGAGATGGTGAATGATGAAAAAATACTTCATAGACGCACAGATTTAAATGTACTTTTTTTTATGTACACACGAAAAGTCTCATTTGGATGCTAATTTTTGAAAACGAATCCCCATCGATGTAACTTCATCAGGCGATCGAACTTTAACACAGATGTTTACTTTAAGACGTGTGACCAAATTACATTCGATTCTTTCGCTTATTGCTCAAGCAAAAGAATCAGTGTTGCTTTTTCATTCTTAGCGACACAGATTCTTTCGAGTGTTGCTCAAGCAAAAGAATCAGTGTTGTTTTTTCACTCTTAGCGACAATACATCGTGTTAATTGATATTTCCATGTATAACACGATATTTTCTATTATTGCCATATCTCTCATCCATCATGAATATTGGTCATACAGTTAAGATGCGTTGTGATCAGCATTGTCATGTACACTCGATTTTCTAATATATTTAATGCAAAGAGGGTGTGGTTGTATGTGGGTGTAGATACGGATATGAGTGTGTGGATGTTGGTGTAGGTGTGGGTATGGGGTGTGAATGTAGGTGTGAGTGTGGATGTGGGTGTGGCTTTTCTCTATACCCATACTCATACTCATGCACCCATACCCACACTATTTCTGAAGGATTTGTTTGGATAAGGTCTTTGCAAGAGACTGGAACAGGGTGGTCGGATACTTTTCTGACCAACTGTATGTTTACTACGATAAACAGTGTTTCGTTTTTATTGTTAAATTTTCCGAAGAAAATAAACATCTAATGTTGATAGGAATAAACGCATAGAAAAAGAATTTTACAAGAAAATAAAAAACGGAAAACCTAAGTTAATCTAACCTCCAAGAATGTGAATCGAAGCTATTTATATAATCAACATAACGATAAGAGTATAGCTTTCAATGAATTCGGTTATTCGAAGATGATTCTTGAACAGAAATTCTGTTACGTTTTGTTTGTTTTCTTAGTTTAATTCAATTAGTTAAATTATCATTGAAATATATATTCTATCATATGTAGAAATGAAAATGTACATTGACATAGAATATTTTTTCACTAGATTTATTTTTCTATTGATGTGAGTTTTCTTTCTATTAAGAGAGCCTCCTCAAAAATCGATCTCAGTCCAGGAACATCCAAATGCCGTGAAACTTTGAGGATATGTGGGGGCTGTAAAAGGACGTCTTTAGTAAAATTTTCAGCCTTCTATTTTGGCGCATAAGGGAGATACGAACTAAACAAGGATCAAAAATAACTTATCGCGTCTCCAAAAACTCTCTTTTTTTTACTTTTATCTATCTGGAGGAAAAAAATCTGACAAGTTTAATCACTGAAAAACCTCTCAAAAACATGGTGCTCATATTATAAAATTGCTTGTCAATATAATAATAACAAAATTTTATCAAAAAAAGGGCTCTCACAGGCACTGTAGTTTTTGATGCTCTTTCAAACAAGAAAAAATATTTGACTTTATATCGGATCATAGTTGATTTTCTCTGGAGATACGTCGTTCGACCACCGTTTTGAGAAAAAACGAAAAACATTTTTTTGGTTTTTCGAGTAGGGATTGTCAAAAATCTTGAAATTTTTTTGGAAAACAGGAGGTATCGAAGAGAAGTTTTTATCGTTTATGAAAGAGCATATGATAGGCTATCTCCCCATGTATTTATCTCAATTTCAACGATTCTGACAAAAAGTGACTTTTTTGAGGAAGGCCTCAACACAGTTGCTATCCGAATATCATCGTATGTATAGATTTTATAATTTAGTCAAGTTTCTTTTTAATATTAGATAAAAATAGATCTGATTCATGTGCATTTTCACTTTTTTTGCTACGCAACTATTTCTTTCGTATAGTATTCTGATACATTTCTGCTATATTAGATTAATAAAATTCAGATCCATACAACTTTATTTAAGCGATATATTTTGCATATAATGCGGCAAAATGTTTGCTTAAATGATAGCAGACTCTGCTTCATAAAATACGAGATTTACGCAAAATACAAATGTAAACAATAATAAAACTTATTTCTAAAAATATTCGTTTTGGGGTGGGTGTGGGTGTGGATCTTTGTTTTCAATTCAAACACATACCTCCACCCCCGCCCACACCCTCAAAAAATATTTTTGCTCGAAATTTCGCCTCTACTCCCCTTCAGAATTATATGGAGCACAAACATAGCTGAGGTGGACCACAGGCGAGATTTCGAGCAAAAATAGTTTTTGATAAAATATAGTTTATTCGACGTAACTTTTTGAGCTGATTCTGAATATCATACTTATTTACTATGAAAGCAATTTGTTGGAAATGAAATTTGAAAATACTATTCCATTTTTAGACCTTTTTGCCATGTTTTCCTATGGTTATCGAAAAAGTGGATTTTCTTAAAAACGCTAAAACACCTGATTACAAGCATACGTAAAATTTTTTCTCTATTACTTGATGATTCGAAAACTGTGTGAGAATTATTTTTAGCTCTAATTCTAAAAAGGGAGATAGGTTTACAAGCTGGATGAGTTAGCCTGGTTGACAGTGAGTCTTGAGAAACTAGCCAAAGCAGACTACAACGATCAAATTTCGTCAAAATCATCTAACTACTACAGTTTTTCATCCTGAATTCAAATAAAGCAATTTCTGCGAAGAATAATCAATTGTGACCAGAATAATCCGTAATCTTCAGAAAAAATCGCTATTTTTGATTTTTATTGAAGAACTAACTTTTCCTTGAATATCCGGTCTGACGTAGGGTTTGAAAAACAAAAAACTATATATTATTAACCAGCTTCGAAAGCTCTATTGATTGATATATAGTTCGACGAATTTTAATTTGTGCTCGATTTTTGCGTTAGCGGCACCTTACCCATTTAATTTATTATTTGAATACAGGATTTGTATTTGAAAAGATCTTTACAAAATGATAGTTCATCTCAAATAGTACGGCATTGTCGAAATAATGATTTATCAGCTATTGAAATCTATAGAATGCTTTGAATGATTCTAGAAGATTTTGACCAGTGTTTTTTTTTATCTATGTTCAAATATTTTAGAATAGGTAAACAACTTCCTGATCTGCATTGGGGGATGAACTGTACCCATTAACTTTTGATCTAGTAGTTAAAACTAACAGAAAGTTAAATCACCATCAATAAACTGATATTCATAAGTTTTCTTCGAAAAATAAATCTATGAATTCTAAAGTGTTTAAGTAATGATAAAAAATCAATGGCAAAATGATAGACTTCATTCAATAGAAGTCCATTAGAGGATAATTTTATTTATCCGATAGTAATGAAATATTGATCAATTCACATTTGATTTGAATATTTAAGAAGAATATCTTCAAGTATTGAATTGAATATGAATGAGTCTTATTTCCACAAGTGAACTATCTCTACAAGAAGAAGAAGAAGAAGAAAAGATTTTTTTGTTATCAATTTGAAAATTTTTCGTTTGAATATGATAAAAATCTAATTGTTCAACATTGTAGATGGATTTTATTTGATTTTCATCTTTCCTAGTCGATTTTTAAAAAAACCGTTTCAATAGATATTTATTCAGAATTAAATAACGATATTTTATTCTGATTTATTGTCAAAATTTCTTACATGGATTTTGCACCTCACAACTGGTAACAATCAGAAACCTTTATAATGCAAACGTTTTAGAAGTTTTCCATGTAGCTAATAAATAAAAACAGAGTATTTATCCGGTTTAATGACATTCCTCATCGACAAACAAAGCTGAGTGCTCTATCAACTGCATTAAGCGACATGGGAGTTTCTGAAGTGAAACAGTGTGACTAAAAATAGTAACTGATCTGACTCTTTGAAATTGATCAGCAGACATTTTACACGTGAAAGCGATTGTGAAGTTCCATCGGACCGAACCGGACCGGCAAAAAATGGTTCAATTTCGAGATCTACTACTTGTTTATTCGATTTCAGGAGGATGAAGTAAAAGGATGATGAAGAAATTGCATCCAAAAATAGATCATCTTCCTGTATCTAGCAAGAGCAACTATATATTTCAACTGACCTTTTTGTCATTTTAATAAATTTTTCTATTCATATAATTCAAAATATTTCATTTAAACATGATAAATACATAGATACAAGTCATTCATCATTAAAAATTTTGTTAGCAATATCTTTTAATTATTATATTATTCAAAGTTATATACATGTTATAAGATATTGTGTGCATGACTTTATTGTTTATACGCTTATAATAAACAATAGATTAGATTCATACGGTAATAATTTGTTTTACTAAACAAAACAAAAATGAAAGAAATACAAACATCTTTTTAATAAGATGCAAAGAATCAGATTGATAAAAATACTTTCGTATGCATCTTTATTTTTAATACAACAAACAGATTGTAGTACATGAGAGCAGAATCACTAAACTTTTTTTTGTTTTTGTCTATTTGATTTTGAATACAAAAAAAAAAGAGAAAATTATAAATGGAACATTATGTTATTTCTTCAATACGCATGAGTTTGGTTGACAAAAAAAAAGAACAACTGGCATACAAAAAAGAAAAAAAGAAAATAGAAATAAATAAACTTGATTATAAAGAAGAAAAGAAAGCGTAAGACGAATAAAGATCTATAATGAACTAGAAGATGATGATGCTGCTGGATTATCATGTGCTTCTTGCCATAATTCACCCATTTTTAATAGAGCTATACATCGATGTCGTCGAGTTTCACGTGAACATAATGAATCATTTAATACTCGATCACAAACATCTCGTTCAATACTTTCAACTTCAAGTTTTGTTGCACGCCAAAGTGCTTCCATAGATTTAGCAGCTGTATCAGCTTCAAGTTTACGTTTTTCTTCTTCAGTTAATTGTGAAGGTTGTGATGTCGATAATGATTTACCATGACGATTATGTTTAACTGGAGAAGATGTTGCTCGATTTGTATGAGAAGATGGTTGTGATGATGATGGTGGTGGTGGTGGTGGTGTA